GGGAATGCTCAATTAATATTCGTTGGAAGATATTAAACTTACTATACAAATTGAACAATTTTTGTAAGAAAGATAAAAAAAAACCAGAAGAGGGGAAGAGAAATATGGAAAAAGTGTTTCAGTTATGATAAATAGTACGTGTGTGATTATATTTATACATAAAGAATAATTTATGTCCAATTACAAATATAACCCTACAATTACACAAAATAAATATAAAAACTATTCTAAAAAAAGAATCTCAATTGAACATAGATTGCTTAAAGTCCTCTCAATCGCGCTCAACAATTTGGGTCGGGATGGGTCTTCTATTTGCCGGCAGCTACTTTATATTAAAATATTTTTATATATTATGAATTGGGTATTATAGTGATTAATGTATTTCCAATATTATGAAATAGATATAATGATTATATATGCATGTGTATAAGCAGGCAGGCTTGTAATATTGTCCCTAGTAATGAGTAGCTCACGAATCATAAATAAAGGAAAAGAAAGGAAAATGATGAAGGGCAGTCATGATAATATAGCAATTTAAATTTATTTTTTTTATTTGGTTTAGAAAAAGATTTTCATAATAATTTTGAACCCTTAACCTCTTAAATAAGAAGAAGACATAACTATGACAACACTAAGTGCTAGTGGTTAGAAATTATTTTTATTAATATAAATATTAGATCCTATTTTAAGTATTAAATAAAAATAAAATTTAAAATTAATATTATAAACTTGAACTTAATTTTTATTAATATGTTTAGTTATAGATACGTATTTAGCTCCACCAAAGGTCAATTTAATGTAAGATTTCTATAACAAAAATTTGAGAAGAGCCTAGTGAGTAATATTATCTGCACGTATGTTTCTTTCTTTTTTTTTCATAATTCAAACCTTTTTTTTTATTTTTGAAAAATAAGTGGAAATGTTCGCCAACAATTTGATATTTTTAACCTTCTTAAAAAATAATAAATTATTAAATTAATTTTCGAAATTTATCAATTGTTACAATTTATTTTTTAATTTTTTTGTTACAATTTGATACTTAACATTTTTTATTTATTTTATACATATAAGTTTCTTTAATTAAAAATTCTAAAATAATTAGATCATTTTTTAATATTTTAAAAAACACCTGAAAAGGATAAATTTAACTGATTAGTTAAATTAATAAATTAATAATGTAATAGTAATACCAGACCTGTTTTTATTATTACTAATTTATTAAATTAATTAATTATTTTAATTTTTTAAAAATATTTATATTTAAAAATAGAATGAACTAAACATTTGAAACAATAAAAAATATTAAAAATTAAATTATAGTAAAAATATTAAATTTTAAGAATTAATTTAATAATTTATTAAAAAAAAAAAAAAAACTATTCGGCGCCATTCCACTACTCTGTATATTAACTAATATACTCCGTGATTCCTCGTGTTTGAGTATGTATGTATATATATTTATATATACCAGTTAAAACACATCATGCACACTTTGAGCCGGATAATAAAAATATTGAATTGGATATATATCAAATCATATGGTGGGATTTAGGTGTATGTCATATAATTCTTTTTTAAAAAATATTCAGCACGTAGTAATAAAATACAGATTAGAAAAGAAAATGAATTTCGCAGTTCCTTTTTGTCACAACAAAAAAAAAAAAAAGCAAGAGCGAACCCACAGAAGCTCTCTCTCTCTCTCTCTCTCTCTCTCTATATATATATATATATATATGTATATACACGTACATACAATACTTGTCTATAAAAGGACGTATTGTCTGTTGAATTTCAATTTCATTTGTCTGAGCAGTGCGTAACTTACTTGGTGTTGGCAAGATGTGGAGGATTCATCCAGCTGGTGATCATAAGAGTTTGGAGAAGGTAGATAATCCTACAATTCTTACAGTGTGGAAGAGATCAAGCATGAGTTTCCAAGGAACAGATGGGTTCACAGTCTTCGACACCCATGGCCGCTTGGTCTTCCGAGTTGATAACTATTCCAGAAACACTCGTTGGATCGGCGCCGGCGATCTCCTTCTCATGGATGGACTCGGCAACGCTTTGCTTACTCTCAAACCCCAGGTAAACTAATCAAACTCATTCATGACTATATAAACATCAAGCATGCCAAACGAAACCTCAGAATCATATATGACGTAACGATGAAAAGCAAATGCATGCAGTGTTAGAGAAATGATGTAGAAATTTTATTTTTCTGTAAATATTTTTCATTATCTTTGAACTAGTTAATTAGTTGGTTTTAATGACTTATTACTTTTAACAGAACAATTAGAAATTATGATTATGTTAGTGCAGCATTTTTAGAGATTGTGGGTATGTTAGTGGAGTATTTTTCTCTGGTTGTTGGTTACAGATTTGTGTTTTTAAGGCTGGTTCATGGTTGAATGCAAATATATTTTGGCAGTTCATTTTTTCTGCATACAAAACGTTTGACAAAAGTTCTCATAGACCTTATTTTTCAGCAATCCCATTTTTTGTTATCTGTTATCTTGTTTTAACAGCCCTTGTTCTTAACATGCAGATGGTGATGGGGATACAACAACAGTGGGTTGCGTATAGTGGAGAAGACGACGGAAGGCAAAGGATTTTCTCGATGAGAAGACGGAGAAGAAGAAAGGAGGAAGCTGAGGTTTTGATGGGATGCTCAGATTCCAAATACCAAATACCTGATTTCACAATTGAGGGTTCATTTAAGAGGAGAAATTGCAATATCAAGAACTCATCAGGAAGAATGGTTGCTAAGATTGTTCGAAAGAGAGTCAACTCAACAGTTTTACTTGCAGATGATGTGTTTACTCTTCTCCTACAACCTGGTTTTGATGCTTATCTTATTATGGCTTTTGTTATTGTGTTGGATCGAATATCTTCTCACCCGTTTAGACCACTTTTATGTTCTTAGTATATTCTTGTATATACAATCTCATATTGTCTAATAAAATATTTTTCATTTAATTCTTGATTTTTAGTAATGGATAGTTGTTAGTGAGTATATTCTTGTATATATTCTATATACAATCTCACATTGTCTAATAAAATAGTTTTCATTATTTAATTCTTGATTTTTAGTAACGGATAGTTGTTAGTAAAGTTAATTATTGCAAGTGATTCTCCATTGGTAGGTCATTTTCAATAACAAACCTCAATTTGTTGTGACAAAATTTTTCATTTGTATTGGTTTTATTACCAGCTATATCCCCTTTTTCCGTTGGTATAGATTCATTAAGTCCATTAAACCTTATTTCTAACTTAAAATAGCTTGATATTTTTAGAAATCTAAGCTCGTGTGAAACACCTAAATTATAGTTCTTCTTTTTTGGCAAAAAAAAAATCGCTTTTCTCAACAAAGCTCTTGATTCGTCTTTTTCAACGAAAATCACTTTTATTTGTTTCCTCCGACGAAAATTAATTCCATTGACAACCCTTTGCCTTATTTTCCTTCTCCTTCACATCCTCAGCATCTTTTTCTTCAATTTAGCAACAGTCTCTAATGTCCTCAATATTAGCTGTTTCATTCTTCCACCTTCAAAAGCCTCAACTTCTGTATGAGAAAGTAAGCTTCTAAGTGACTTCTTTTGTTGCTTTGAAGTGATTGTTTTATTGTAGTTACGGCACTTAGAAAGGACTGCTGCCTAATAGAACACTTACCAATTAAGTAATTGCAGATAGGCTTCGTCTTTTGGAGTTCACAGGTATAGTGTAAGCTTTCTTGCTTCCCTTCATTTTTGTTTTAACAGATCATAATGTAAACCTAGATTGGATTTGAAATTAAAATAATGTGGTTGTAAAAGATGAAATCCTAAAGTGAGAATTGATTTG